TTACTTTTTTTTTCGGGAACAAAAACGACGTTAGAAACTTTCTGCGTACTTCTTGCTGTTGTATGTTCGGCATATTTTTCGACCCTGAAAATGGAGACAGTACGTTACCGACACTAATATGCCAGCTTCACCCTCGCTGGATTTTCAATTACCCGAAAACATCGCACTAAACGAATCATGGCGCACAGATATTCTCAATGATCACGTTCACCGTCAATTCGCAGGTTGGGTAGTACAAAACCCGTTTTCGATCCCCTCTCAGTCTCTCGCCTACAGTTAATGAGCCAAGGTCATGGTCGCAAATTAGTGGGGACAGGTATACATTCTTCCGAAACGTCTGCGAACTTCTACCAGACTACACAGCTTCACCTCTCAAAAAGATATTGTAGTAAGCACCATGAATACTGCAAATCTAGCATAGTGTATTGTGACATGTTGCACCGTCTTCTCAGCCCTCACCGTCCTTGTGCAACTTCGTCGATGTATTAATATTCACGCTTCAACGTCTTTGTCTCATATCTTTATACAGCACTATATATATCGGCCAAACTGTCCGTCATCGGGCGTATTAGCTGTTGGATGGAAGGAACCTGCTGCTCTGCGTCTTGTTCTGATGTAAAATGCTTCTAATATATTTTATTTTATGTTATAGCCACGTGTATGAATGACTGTAGACGGGGTTTGGATTGGTAATTGGATTTATTGACCACTTACAGATCGTAACTACACTAAAGCGCTATGGCTCATTCATGCAATCGTCTTCTCACTACAGCACATAGTAAGTCTTTTCAGTTTGTTTTCCACTAGCCGTTTTCTGATAACGGATCATAAGTGTCCTCTGCTTACGTCCTTCCCGGCTGTCGAATGTCTCACAGCTGATTCCCAGGCTGGCGGCCATAACACATCGAATTCCTACTCTTCTGATCGACTGAACTCTAGTAACTGCAGCATTCAACTTGTGCCGCTTATAACATCTCAACACGGACCGCACAGAAAACACCGTTCCTCATTCTTCTAATTCAATTGTTGCCGTGGGAATATGTTTGTGAAGCCGATGCTGAGTAACGGCTCCTGTATATTTGCTTATATCGCGGTCGTTGCCCAGCAACGGGTGTACATGCTACATTATTTTTAGAAAATCATGTTGCTGTTTCTTTATTTGTTTGTAGATAGATTAAAATGATGTCATCCACAAAACATACACCAGAGACATGCATACAAATAAATTAACAACGCATTATAACATAAAAATAACCTAAAATAAAATATTTTGGAACCATGTTACATCGAAATGAATATCACAACAGCGTGACAGCGGAGCAGCAGGTTCCTTCAGCCCAGCATCGTATACACCTGATGATGGCCAGTCAGGTCGAAATATGTAGAAGACGATCAAGCGGTTTGTTTCTGGCTTCCCACCGCAGCTGCCCGGATCCGATCAAGTAGGATTTGTGGTGGACAAAGTGGCGCTGGGGCAGGTTTTCTCCGAGTACTTCGGTTACCCCTGCCAATCTTCATTCCACCAATTGCTCCACAATCACCCTCACCTATCATCTGAGGTTGGTACAAGAGGCCAGAAGTGGCCGCAGTACAAGGGACTTAGTCCCACCCCACTAGCAATAAAAAAGTTTCACAACGACGGCGAGGAGTGAGAACACAAAGATAGTGAATTCTTCGCCATTTGCCTCTCACTTTGAACAAATCTTCATAAATATGTTTAAGAAAAGTGTTTTTATTGCAAGTTCCCATGAAATTATTCTTTCGTGACACTGCATCTCTTGCCCCTCCTTGCCACCGCCTCCGTGGCGATCTGTGGTGCTCTTTGGGGGCGCTTCCTCCCTTCCGCCCCCCACTCTCCTTTCGTACAGTAAGAGCCTGGGTAGCTCAGTATAGCGATTGGCTACGGACTGTTGGATTTCCATTTGGGAGCAGGACATTTTCTCCTCTCTACACCGTCCATATTGGCTCTGGGGCTCGCCCAGCCTCCTGTCCAGTGAGTACCGGAAGGATATTTCCCCGGAAGTCAAAGCGACCAGGTCGTGAAGCTGATAATTAATCTCCATTTAGTGGCAGTGTAAAAATTGTGGAGTTATACCTCGGAACATTTTCATGGCGTCGTGGTTTGGTAATTAAGCACGGGAACAACTTTGCCTTTTAACTTACCTTAGTGTAGGATTTCAGAAACTGAAAATAGGCAAACAAGTTTCTTTCCTTTAATTATGTTTGTATCTAAAATGCTTGTCACACCGGGTAAAATTCATAACTGGAGTAAATTTCATAATTGAGGATTTCATCTGTGAGATTTTATGTTCTCACAGCAGTGAATATGAAAATTACTGTCTTCTGAGTTGTAACACCTTGTTTATTTGTGGTCTATTGTATGATGCAGTCAGTAGCTGAACTATATACCGTCAAATGGTAAACTAATTTGGACACTGATAAATTGGAAAGGATTTGGAAATCCTCGTAGAAAGACACTAACGTTTCGAAGGAACCTTTTACCGCCATCTTCAAGCTAGACTTGAAATTGAGCTGCAGAAGGGATTTTCGTAACGTTCGTAGCTTCGGGCACTGAAAAGGATGAAGTGAGTCACGCAGGACTGCCCAGTTCTGAAACATCTCTGATGTAATGTGGGTGAATTCTGAAACTCGTTCTCCGAGAATCTGTTTATCACGTCATACAGCTTGGCATTTGCAGGATGCTTTTGTTGGTGGGTTAACCATTGACGTAGGAATCACCGAGAGTGACAGAGCTATGAATATATAGGCAACGCACGTTAACATTGGACGAAAGTTGCGATGGTGCGTATGGATCGAGCTTCGTGGCTGTGTGATCTGGAAAGGTATTGAAGCCGTTGTGTTCAAGAAGTGTGTCTGAAGTTTATTTGTGTTATAAACTGAAGTGTTGTGCCCCTCAAGTGTACATCATTTGTGCTGAATACTTTGGAAGACAGTCGCTTTGCGTTGCGCGTACTGTTTCCGACAGAGTGTCATTAAACACCAGAAAGAAAAAGAAACAGCTGTGATTTTAATATGTCGAACACATGTGTACGTTATAATAGTTTATACATGATGGTGTGTGTTCTGAGACGTCGCCAGACCGGGAAGTTCACCCTGAATTGTGAACACTCCACGACTGGTTTTCACGTTCTGAAAACGAGTATAAAGGTACACATATTTTAATTACTTTATTTCATAATACAGAGACTTTATTTTTGATCTGTTTATTGCAGTAGAAATCCTGATTGAAATAACCACAAAACACTTATTTCGTCTAAATAATATTTAAAAGACTAGGTTTTACTTCACAGAAGATATGGCGTCTGCATTACAAAAACCAATTGACCTTTTTTAGCGAAATAATCGTTTATTCGAAAAATCATTTGTGCCCGTGAGTAAACTCTGTGAAGGAAAATATAGATTATTTTAATGTGAAAACAAATGGTTCTTATAGTAACCACTGTATTTTGAAGGGTTAAAATTTGTTGGTTAAGTGACAAATAGGTATACATTTCGAACTAACATTAATCAGGCACTTAAATCAAGATTATAAAATTAAATTACATATATATTTTTTCAATGAATTGTAATTTCATTAATTATAAATGTTAAAAAGAAATTTAAGAGATCAGATAGAAAGAGCAACCTTCGTACCATTGTATTATCGAGGCTCATATGTATATGAGGAGTCGAATACCTCTTTATGGTTGATGTTGGAATGCATTTTTTTTTGGCAGAATTTGTCGGTATGCCCATATCCAGTGTCGTATGAGGACAGTAAGCTTACAAATGCCGACATTTTGTCACAGTTCTGTCCCGAACAGAAGAAAACATCCTCCTATTTTAACTATACAGCGCCCCAGCTTTTGTTCTGAATTATACAGAGAGTGAACTAATAGTTTGGAAGCAGCCGGTTACGGCGAATCCGCTTCATAAATTAATTACACTCGTTTCAGTCGATTTCTGATATGACAGGATAATTTTATGCAACAGGCTTGTTTCATGTTTTTTTTTTTCCCCACAAAAACTGTAGTGTATATGTTAAACATCTCATGTCACATTACGTTAAATGACCTCTGCAGTTGATGCAGACCACAGACAAACATCCTTTTCCATGCTTGCATAGATAGTATAGAGTCTAGTTTCTTCCAGAAGTTCTTTATTTATGTTTTTGTTCACTTTCCTCCTCAGACTAAGAGGGGCATAAAGAACTGTTTCGTGTTTCTTCCGTCTGTTTACGAATTTACGAACGTCACATATGCATCCCGTGGTGTGTCATACATACACACAGTAAGGGCAGTCTACACAACGATATTTCTGAAAGAACAACAAAATACACACACTAATGCGTAAACATTTTGTTTTTATTTGTTGCTCACGCTACATGTTTCGACCCCTATTTTGGGTCATCATCAGGTGCATGATGAGTACAAGCATTAGTTAAGTGAATTGTGTCTGAATTTCAATATGAATCTATATTATGTTGTTACAAGTTTTTTGCACGTTTTTGAATTAACAGTCAAGTAAATAAGATAAATTTAATATTAAAAATTAAAATTATCAATAAAAAATTGAAATTGTGCAGACTTCATAAAACCTTTTCAACCCTGCACATTGATATGTTGTTCAGATAGTAGGAACACTTATGTTTGGGGGCGCTTGTGCATCGAGGTCTTCTTTTTAAACGATGCCGTATTGGTTTGATCTTCCTATTGCTGTACAGGGTATAATTTCGTTACGCTGTATATTGCTCCAGCGAATTGTTTATATAGAAGTTGTGTAATTCTTGGTTGTTTTGATCTGTGTGACGGCATCTCATCGTGATGTCGTGTCGTGGCGTTGTATGTTGTGTATATCTGTGTTACATACAATACCTTATGACTCAAAGCATGACAACAAACGTTGCCAGATCAGACCAAAAGCTTCATTTAATTACGTCGGAGTTAAAAGTGTTTAATATTTTCATAAATCATAATATAAATGTTATCTTTTCTTTTCAGCCTTCTGGTTGGCGGAAACTGCGAAATATTGTTCAATGGACTCCGTTCTTCCAGACGTACAAGAAACAGAGGTATCCTTGGGTTCAACTTGCAGGTCATCAAGGTAGGTATTTCGTCTCTGTTGAAACATGAGTAAAAATAACGCCGAAATCGAGCACTTCAATGCTCAGACCGTTCTTACGTGCCGTGCATTCCAAACTGCTGTGAGAATTTGTGACAAAGGACATGGTGTTCAAAACTACATGTTTTTATGAACACTCCCCTCCCCTGTCTCCCTAACGGACACTTAACGCCGTTTGTTGTGAGAAATGAGAGGAAGTTAGTGAAGCTTCCTACCGCGGCGGCTCGGGTTCGATCCTGGGTCTGGTCAAATTTGATTTGTGGTGGACGAAGTGGCGCTAGGGCAGGTTTTCTCCCAGTACTTCGGTTTCCCCTGCCAATCTTTATTCCACCAAATTCTCCATCATAATCACCCGGGGCAGGTACAATAGGCCAGTAGTGGCGGACGTGCCGAGTGGGCCCAGTTGGACCCCCCCCCCCTCACTAAGCGAATTAAAAAAGGAGTTTATGAAGCAGCGTAGAACTGCGTGGTAACATGTATGCAAGATGTGAATCTTATTAAGATGTGGCCTTTGTTTTGTGTAATATACAGTTTTCCGTTCAGTTTTTTTGTATGTTGACAAATCAGCAAGTTTTCTTTGATCTTTACGTAAAATATCCCTTAACGTTGGTTATGTCGTTATCGACCAAAATTAAATTCGCTCTGCGACGGAAGAATACAGCCATCCGATAAGCAAATTAATCGAAATCAGTACAAAAATTTTGGAAAATGTAACGGCCTGGTATGAGCTCCTAATAAAAATGGTAAAGTCGTCCCTATGTTTATTTAATTAAGCACTATGCCATGAAGAAACATGGAGGAGTGGAGGAATAGCTCCGCTCTTATTGACCTCGGCACTAGATGGAGGTGGGTGGTCAGCTTCACGCCCGGTCGCTTTACCCACAGCGAAATGGCACAGAGCCGGTCTGGATGTTATGGAGAGGAGAAACATCTTTCTCTTGCCGGTATTCAAACCCCGGCCCGACTGAGCTCTCCCGACTCCCCATGAGCTACCCTTAACGAGTATTAATTTCTTTGTGTTTTGTACAAATAACGAACAGTACTGAAAACTGAGTAACCTTTTCTAAAGTATTGAGTGAGTGAGTGAGTGAGTGCATTTTAAGAACTTTAGCATCAAAGGCTATTTACTAATGAATAAAATCGAAGTCAAAATAGTATTAGAGAAACAAATTTCAAATTAGATAGGACTGTAAGGGGTGTCTGACAGAATTTTGATAAAACTGCGACATAAAACCATAACAAATGAAATAAAATCAACACTGCCTCAGGCTGTATAAGGGCCCACAAATATGGCCCCAAAATAACACGAATTAAAATCTCAACATATAAAATGAGAAGAAGACCTATCCTGTAACAGGCCGTGGAGACTCATATTGTTGTGAGACGTCGAGGCTCCCACATTTTCTCTAGACAGTCGGCTCACAGATGGCGGTGAGGTTGTCAGCCTTACGCGCCGGCATGCCGCCCCTTACCCCCAGGAATATTCCTGGTACTCATTTCTGTTACAGGCTGTGTCGACCCCATGGTCATAGTTTTGCTAGAAGGATTAGGTCAATTGAAAAATCCAATGACCTCATTGGGAATCGAAACCGCTACCTTTCGGCTTGTATCATAGTGCCTACACAGAAGATAATCCGGTTTAAAATTAGGTAAAACTGTGCGCCTATCAGGCTACAAAGGGAGAATAGATAAACGCGGACAAATGAGGCCATGAAGTGTGACGTCGAGTGTTCGATAATCCGTAAACGTTAACCTCTTAAATTTGTAATGTGAGAAAGCAAAATGGCTGCTCGTATTCTTGGACACGGCAGAGCCGGTGTGTGCAAGTGCTGCCTTAGACAACGTGTCTGCGTGTGTCCTAATAAATTCTTGCTGCTAGATGGTATCCTGGCCGCAATAAGGAGAATGTGAGATCTGCTTCTGGCAAATAGAATAGATGTGCATATCTCAGAACCAGGGGTTACCAACCTGCAGAAGAAACACAGTCACATGTAGTCTCCTTTACGGAACCCGAAGATATGAGACGATTTACAGTCGTGATACTGAAAGTGTCGTTAACTAACGTACGAACCGACAAGCCGGAGGTTCGTTATCGCATACGTTCACCATTGGTGCTTACCCTGGTCCAGGTAAATCCAGTGCACATCCATTAACATCTGTAAAAACTCTTAATTCGCGAGAAAACACAGTCGCCTATGAAACTACAAGCATTAAATATCTATCTACTCGTATGTCATAATGTTCCATTCCTCGTTTACTCACTGATGGTCAGTCCCTAACTTCTGATATCACTAAATAGTCGTATCACAGTTTGTGTAAAAGCTCGGATATCAATTGCCGACTTTTTTTTTTCAACAAAACGTGTGATCGATCTGATTTTCTGTCCATCAGAAATTCTAAATGCTGCGATCTAGGAATGTAGGCCTGCTCTTGACGGTTGGATTGTTTGACTGATCCCACATTTCGAGTTCATAGTTCACAGTCATTTTTCGTGTGTACAGTGTATTCAGTTGATAAATGGTCATCAGATAATCCTCGACCCTTAGGCTGGCGTAGATGGAAAGGATAAATGAAGATGTTACTATTCTCTTTCATATATTTCCTACCGGGGATAAACGTAAAATCTATATTGTTATATATTTACATCATATTGTCAGTACGTACAGTAGCCACGACAGTTAAAGTGATATGTAAACATTGCTTATTAGATGGAATTTGAATCATAGTTCTCAATCTTTTTATTGCACCAGTAAACTTTAATTTCGTAATTTGAGTATTAATTAACTAGCAGGTTAGTGTAGAGTTAACACTCTATAGACTCGTATTCTCAATATGGTTGGTTCCCTCTCGGCCAGGACATCCGCTAGCCGGAGAAGTTCCACGGTTTTCCCCGGTCCATCCATGTTAATGTAATAGTACCTCGAGAAGACAACGGTCGCTTCTTTTCAAATGATTTCCAATTCGTTATAGACTAAGGGTGTTTGAGAACAGGGTGTTGAGGAGAATATTTTGACCGAAGAGTGATGAAGTGACAGGAGGTTGGAGAAAACTGCATAATGAGGAGCGCCATAACTTGTACCCTTCTCCTAGTATAATTAGAATGATCAAGTCAAGGAGGATGAGGTGGGCAGGTCATATAGCACGAATGGGGGAGACGAGGAATGCGTATAGGATATTGGTGGGAAAGCCAGAAGGAAAGAGACCACAGGGAAGACCAAGGCGTAGGTGCGTGGACAATATTAGAATGGAACTTAGAGACAGGATGGGATGGTATGGATTGGATAGATGTGGCTCAGGAAAGGGACCAGTGGAGGGCTCTTGTGAACACGGTGATGAACCTTCGGGTTCCATAAAATGCTAGGAAATTCTTGAATAGCTGAAGATTTGGCGGCTCCTCAAGAAGGGCTCAGCTCTGTGATCCTTCTGCCCGTTGCTGTACAGTGTAGTCACTGACAATATTACAAAATAACCTATGTATCCTTGGGCGAAGAGTCGATGTTTCTGCTGATGAGGAATAAGCTGGAATTGGTCACCCCTACTTGTTCGTGATGCGAATACTTGTGCTTTGTGCCTTTTGTATATGAATACATAACGTGAAGAAACAAGCGAACGCAGCCGTGTAGGGAGGCCGTCCACGTCAGTGTCTTTTATCTCCCAGAACCCACCTTCAATTGCTCAATGCAAATAAATCTGAACTGTAACAACTGAAAGACATATCTTTTCTGTATACAGCACTGTAATATTCTGTTCAAAATTTAAACTGTTTCAACACGCATCTGCTAACGCTTTTCGCATGTACAGGTATATTTTTTGCCTCAGTCTTGGAAGGTATGGAATAGCTATGCGCTTCATCTTGTAGTATATGTGTGTATGTACAAATATATGTAATGTATGTAAATAAATAAGTAAAGGTATCCCTGAAACAGGCCGTGGAGGCCGATAGGGTTGTGAGATGTTAAGGTTCCCACATTTTTTAGACCGTCTGCTCACAGATGGCGGTATAGCTGTCAGCCTTACGCGCCTGCCGCCCCTTACCCCCAGTAATATCCCTGGTACTCATTTCTGTTAGAGGCTAAGTCGACCCCAGGGCCATAGTGTGGCTGGAAGGATTAGGTAAATTGAAAAAATCGACCTCATCAGGATTCGATCCCGCGATGTAATGTATGTGATGTATGTTTGTATGAGAAGTTGTCCCTGTGTTTAACTAATTAAGCACTGCATCGTGAATACGTATGTGGGAGTGGACGAATAGATCCACGTTTTCTTGACCTCAGCACTAGCTGGATGTGAGTGGTCAGCGGCCGCTTTACCCCCTGGAATAGAGCCCCTGTTACCCAATAGATAGGTTGGGTGAGCCCCAGATGTATATGTAACTTTTCTGTTTCTTTTATGGAGCTTAACGTCATACCCTCCCCAATGTTTGCAGTTTTCATGGATGTTAAACGATGTGGAGTAGAGATTTTGGGGCATAAAGAACATGATGAAGGCAATTTTTATACTGAGAACTGTGAACACTTGCCGATTTGTTGCACGTTTCACTTCTCAGCCTTGCACAGGCTTTCCTGAAAAATGAATGAAGTTCCTGCTGTTAAGGAACTTGAAGGTTATAGAATGTGAGAAGCAATTATGGAGAGATCTGTCTTCTGGGATATGACACTGCATAGCCCGTTGAAAGTCAGCTGTCGTTTCAGAGGAATATCCTGAAGATGGAGGCGACATGTTTACTTTCAGTGGACTACACAGTGTTTATCCCAGAAGGTAGAACTGCAAAACTTGAAGGTTATTGCCGTTTTCACCAAAGTACACAATTTTTCTGTAGGCTCTCTGTAGCCATTTGAATTTAGTGTACACCTCTTTAATATCTACTGTAATTTTATTCATCTATGCCTAGTTCTAGCATATGGTTTCTCCCCTTTTTGTTTCATAACCGTATTTAGTATACGTTTCTCATTTTTTCCCGTTCATGCTACATCTCCTGCTCATCTAATCCTTTTTTATTTGATTTCCAAAAATAGTATTTGGTCAGAGGTACAGATTGTGAAGGTGTTCAGCATGTAATGTTCTCTGCAATTCTTACCGTATGTTTGTTAGTTCTGCTCAGCACTTTGTTGTGGAGATAAAGTGCTGTTCTGTTACACAGTAGACCAGTCTGTTTTACTTGGGGTTGTATTTCGTGAAAATACAACTTGATCAGAACACAGTAATTTGAAGACTACCCAGTGTATCTTCATTCAGATCAGGTAAAATGATAAACTGTCCACTCTGTATCTCAAAATGGGTTTCATTACAATATAGTTGTGTTTTGTTACAGGAAACTTTAAGGCAGGACCTGAACAAGGCACGATCTTGAAGAAGTTGTGTCCTAAGGAGGAGCTATGCTTTCAGGTTCTTATGAAGGACGTTTTGAGGCCCTATGTACCTGAGTACAAAGGGCACGTTACCTGTGAAGATGGAGATTGTATCCTTATCAGTAGAAGTTGCAACAAAGATTGCTTTTTGCAGATAGGAGCATGTTTACTACCTATAAATGGCTAACATCCAGCTCTTGTTAAAAGACTGTGAAGGGAGAAGTTTTTGATGCAGTTTTTAAAAACTTTTTATTGTTATTTTTAAATTCAAAGTATATTATGTGGTATAATAATGATATTAGTAGTGTTGATAATAATAGTAACAAAAACTATAATGACAGTTACAATGATTTGTTTACAGGAACTTTAAAACTGGAGGATTTCTTTGAGTTGCATACTTCCCTTCGGAATTATAAGAAACAATGAGTCGTTCCACATTCACCAAAATCATATATCCATAGACAAGTGAGCGTTTATTTCTGGACTTTTAGATAGTTTTAGACTGTTCAGGAATTCTTTGTATTAAAATTTTGAGAGAGTTATCATTGATTCTCAACTGCTGTTTCCCTAGTTTCCTTAAAGCTCTTCCTCTAAAGTGCTAGTAAAGGAATGACATAAGAAATATGTAATGAGGAAGTCAATCTCTGTATTGTATCCCGCAGCATGGAAGTATGTGATGAATTATGCAAAATGCCATTTTGAAAGCAAGCAAAAGCAACTGACATGTGGCAGGAACTACTACTGCCAACTTATCTTACTCTTCAGTTGTTGAAAGGAGAGGTGGAATTAATTTACTTCAGTTTATAAAGCAGGAAAAAAGACAGGACAAGAGTAAATAAGTATACATTTTGGAAAATATAGCTCCTTTTTATTACATGAATGAAAAATCAATTGAAGAATAAGATGGGCAGTGCTGTATATTTTATGTTACCACAAGATTAACACTCTTGTATTCAATTAAAAAATAAAGGCAGGTGGGAGTTTGTTTTGGGATGCTTTGTGCAGGAGTAACATTGTACTCCTGAAATTAAGTTATGTACTTTCATTCATTCATCAGTAATCTGTCAGACAGGTCCACAGTCTATTCCAAAACAGTTCCTCCACTTGTCTCCAGAGGAAACATTTCGCATACATGGTATCATCTTCCATTAGGAAATGAAGGCAGGTTGGATTTTGTGTGGGATCCTTTGTGCAGCAGTAGGTATATTAAGCTTAGGAATGTTATGAATTATTGTGGTTAGTCATGTGGAAGTTTCATGATTGATAGTTGGAATATAATTAACCCTGGAACTTGCTGGATCCCAATTTTGTTACATGTACCTCTTCCTGGGGTCTGGTATACCCAAAAATACCTCATCCTAATCACATCACCTTGAGGACGGAGACAGCATGTTCCTCCAAAAATTGTGGTTTCCATCTCCAAGACTGCATCATGCCACAACCCAAATGACCATGTTGAGAATTATTTAAGAAGTTAGGAAATATATCCATAGGAAGCAATCTGATGCATTCACTTCTCTATATCTTGAAAACAGTAAGACTTATGGGAAGAGTGTACAGGATATTAAATGCAGAGATAAGCTTAGAAAATGCACCTCTTAGCTTTTCTTAATCTGTCTGCTCCTCCACAGATAATAAATCTGGACTTACTGAATGGGTTTAATCAGATTTGATGTTAGGAAATTTTGCAAACATTTGTGTATACATTCCAATTTTGGTTACAATTGAACAAAATAACAGACACTTTACATGGAGGTCTACTTGTGTTTCTGCATGCATCTTGAGAGCAGCTTCTGTATAGCTCACAAAGAATTTATCGGAGCAAAAGCACTTTAGCAAAAGTTGTGAGGAGAAATGCTACACATTATATATCCAATACATTACTTAGGTATGTTACATGGTTTCTGAGGTAAAACTGATTGCGTGACAATTACAAAAGACAAGTCGTCCAATGTGACTATTTCAGTTTTCTCACTTGATGATTCACAAGCCTTACATGTTTTGATCCATTTGGATCATCTTCAGAGGCACCAAACGCTTTTAAGAAACCACTATCACAACAGTTGTCATATGAAATACACATGTAATGGCCAAGTACCCAATGTTCCATCTATCACTCACAGCAGCCTTTCTGGTTATAGAAATATTTAAAGTTGTTTTAAAAACTTTGTTCAGAATTAAAATACATAAACCATACGGTTCGTGTCAATAACCCCTGTCACCTCTCTTCAAGGTGGCTGATGTTGTATATACACAGCACAGCTGGCCAAGAAATCATAACGGACAATATTAAGAATCTCCCTAAGTTACATAGGAGGCACAACATCGGCCACCTTGAAGAGAGGCGACAGGGGTTATTGACACGAACCGTATGGTTTATGTATTTTAATTCTGAACAAAGTTTTTAAAACTTTAAAACAACTTTAAATATTTCTATAACCAGAAAGGCTGCTGTGAGTGATAGATGGAACATTGGGTACTTGGCCATTACATGTGTATTTCATATGACAACTGTTGTGATAGTGGTTTCTTAAAAGCGTTTGGTGCCTCTGAAGATGATCCAAATGGATCAAAACATGTAAGGCTTGTGAATCATCAAGTGAGAAAACTGAAATAGTCACATTGGACGGACTTGTCTTTTGTAATTGTAACTGTTAGTGTGACGGACCAAAATGAAAGAAATCAAATTGATTGCATGAATGTGCCATAATTGTTAGCTGTGCATACATTTCAAAGTTGTCCATTCTTCTTGAGGGGAGAATTTCGTGTCAATAACCCCTGATATATAAGATATGGAGGATCAGTTTGATCAAAGTTGCCGCCTTATGCACCTTTTCTTTTCTGGTCAGTGTAATCAATTTTGGTATATTTTGCTGGGTTTTCTCACTGAAATTTGGACTTGGCACTTTATGCTTGCTTAATAAAATTTATAGTCTAGTGTTAAATCTTGTTACCAGCATAGCGTTTCTTTAACACTGCCTCAGCTATGTACCTGCAGCTACAGGACTTGCTTGGGGACTTCACATCACCGTGCGTCATGGACTGCAAGATCGGTGTTCGCACATACCTTGAGGAGGAGCTGGCCAAGGCTAAAGAGAAGCCAAAACTCAGAAAGGTGAGCACTGCTGTCAGTTATCCTTGATAGTGAATCATTTAGACCAAATTTGGAAGCTGTGTATGCATATTCTTGGTTGTATCTGCTTATTTAGTGAGTCAGTCAGACTAGGAGTGGAGATGTGTACATATACTTTGTAAGTGTTTTTTTTTGCCACTTTTCTGTATTTAATTGGTCCTGATGTTTGGGGCAAACATACCCAGTTCTGTGACATACTTTACATTGGTGTACAGCAGGCTGAATTCACCATGACATGAGATATGTCATGAAATTTGGAAATTGGATAGGTTTACATTATTTATTGCTGATCTGAGTGTGTTGTTGCAATCTTAATTGCATTACGGTTATCCACTGCATAGACTTAGAACACTTATAAGTGTATTTTACTTCAACAATGTCAATAGAAACATGAATGTGGTACATGAGAAGCTCCTGTTTCATTTATATGCATTAAAAAGGAAATCCAAACAAAGAAACCTTCTTGAGTTGCCAAGTGCAGAATAAAACGTGAAATAAAATTCCCTTCGATTTTCAAAACCTGTTTCATGTAAAGTTTATGTTTTGACATTGGATACCTGTCAGTTTTCTGAAGAAAGCCCACAGATAATCTGTCCCTGGTTAATCAGGAGTCTACTGTATTCTGAATTCCCCAACAGACTGTATGTCGATTCTTAACAGACAAAACAACATGCATGACCACAGGATTGTCTAGCCTGACATTTGATAAGAAATTTGAATTTCCTGTTTCTGACTCCATATCTGTATAGCAGTGGTGATCTTTATTTCCGTTTTCACTTGCCCCTCCTTCTGAAGTTGGAAAGCTGTGTATCAGTTTACGTCACTTTGAGCAGTTGTGTCTGTTTCTTCAGATTGACCCCTGCTACTGAATTCCAAGGTCAATGTAAGTGAAATAGGATTTGATAGAAAGTTATGAGTAATATTTTCCTTCAATACTCTTTTATTTCCATACGATTTGATTTGCTGAACATGTGACATCCACTGAAAATTAACACTTTCTGTTATAAGTGGAGTGTAATTAGTTTTTTCTTTTATGTTACTATAAATATCTTGATTTTTTCCAAGATTTGTGAGCGAGTTTTGAAAACAATTTAGAAAACCATTTATGGTTTGCCCCTGTGGTTATGTATGGAAGTGAAAATTTGTCTCTGACATTAAGGGAGGTTTATAGACTGAGGGTGTTTCAGAACAGGGTGCTGAGAAGAATATATGGATTGAAAAGCGAGGAAATGAAGGGACATTGGAGAAAACTACACAATGAGGAGCTTCATAACTTGTACTCTTCTCCAAGTATAATTAGAATGATCAAGTCAAGGAGGATGAGGTGGCCAGGGCATGTAGCACAAATGGGGGAGAAGAGGAATGCGTATAGGATATTAATGAGCAAGCCAGAAGGACAGAGACTACTAGGAAGACTAAGACATAGTTGGGTGGTTGATATTAAAATGGATCTTGAAGAGAGAGGATGGAATGGTGTGGACTGGATTGATCTGGCTCAAGATAGGGACCAGTGGAGGGCTCTTGTGAACATGGTAATTAACCTTTGGGTTCCATAAATTGCTGGGAAGTTCTTAAGTGGCTACACAGTTGGTGGCTTCTCAAGAAGGGCTCAGCTCCGTGAATGAGTGAGTGACATATGATTTGCCATCTCTACCACGTTTAAGCCTCTCTGTCTGCAAGTAACAGTCCAAGCTACTTGACTGACTTCAATCAAACTTGGTATGCTATACCATTCTGAGTTTGGTTTGTTTTTTGTGACATGTTTGTTGCTCACAAAAACATGTAGCTATCATTATGTCATGAAAAGGCAGGCTGATTTAGTTCAAGAAGAGAAATTCACGGATTGTTCATTGTTGTATGCAGTAACTTACTGAAAGAGCACGTGATGTTAGCATTGCTGTATGCAGTAACTTACTGAAAGAGCACATGATGTTAGCATTGTTGTATGCAGTAAATTACTGAAAGAGTGTGTGATGTTTACAGGATATGTATGAGAAGATGATACAAATTGACCCAAATGCACCCACTGAGGAAGAACACAGGCTGAAGGGTGTCACAAAACCAAGGTAAGAGCCTTAGGTTCAGTTCAGGTTATGAGTATTATGAGTGAGACATTATTTCTGAGACACAAAATAGATTAAAGTAATTTTGTATTAATAAGGGAATTCCCCATGAGGCCATTGGAATTTTTTTTTTCCAATTGACCTAATCCTTCCAGCCGCACTGTGGCCCTGGGTCGACTCAGCCTCTAACAGAAATGAGTACCAGGAATTAATTAAATAATTTTCCTCGGGAGTAAAGCGTGGCTGGCGCGTAAGGCTAACAACCTCAACAATCTTTGAGCCAATTGTCTAATGTGGGACCCTCAATGTCTCATAACCCTATGGACCTTCACGGTCTGTTACAGAGATAGCTTTACTTTTTAATAAGGGAATATCAAATAAGATGGCATGAAAATAACTTTATGGATACCAACCCAGAAGAAAGGGAATTCTGAGATAATTGTTGATGTAGGCAAGAGACCAGTTCTGACATTTAACGGTCTTGTTATTATTTTGAAAATTCTAAGAATTAAGTTTCAAGAAGTGTGAAGATTGTGATGACAATACCGACAAATAGTACCTTTCCATGACATCCGAGATACTGTGTATGCAATGGTCTCATTTCGGTAATCATCAGACAAATTAAGAGTAACTGATAGGAAACCTCTTCCTGTCTTTGGACGTTTGTAACATATCATATGAAATATGTTTTTATTCTAATTATTAATAAGCCTGTAATTTACTTCTGATTTAAGCCTTTCTTAAACTTTTTTCCTGAAGATGGGTCTGGTTTATAATTGAGGTTCCTTTGAATGTTGCCTTATGAACAGTCACAAATATATAATTTAATTTTATGTAATAGGAATATAATTTATACACAATTTCTGCTTGATGTATGCACTTTAGTTTGTGACATTTCATGCTATTGCCATATCTGTACATTTTTGCTACAGTATAGGTCTCTTGCCTCTTGTCGTGTAACGTTCTACAGGTTTGCGGATGTAATACTGGAAAACAAGGAACTTTCATTTTTATAGTTTCCATATTTTTCTCATTTTTAAAATAATTACTTAAAAATTTTATCCATAATATAAATTTCTTCTGTTTCCCTTCAGTTGCTCATAGCAATGTTCACTGTGGTTTCATGTCACAAGGCAACCATACGCAGTTTGCCTGGTAGTTGCAAGTCTTATCACTATGCAATACCAGAGCAGGAAATAATAGGAAAGTTATATGATGTCACATCCTTTCTTTGAACATGAATTTCATCAAGTACCAGTGATGTTTAGTATTTGTTCCTTCCAGTGTACTTACATAAATTGACAGTATTATATTTAAGCATCCTGTTGCACTCTACACGATAAATGATACAAACTCCGTCCCAAGTGCAAACAATATATATTATATGTCCTTATCATAGTTCTTTCTACTCTACATAAATTGAATTGAATTAAAAGTGCCATTGAGGGGTGAAGTACTCTGTTAGTGTTTACATTGTTGGTGAACTTCATTAGATGTGTGCGTAGAAGATTTTCATAAAATAACCGTGTTTACAGGAGTGAAATAGATGTGTAATATGAAAGTAAGCAATTTCTTACAGTACATTTTAAAACAATATGGAGCAAAGAGGCTGTATACTCACTCTTCACTGTGCGGGGTCAATTGAAGAGAGTAAAAGTGAGAAAACAAAGAAAACTGAAATTGTATACTTCGCAGTAAGAGAATGGTGTACACACAAGCATGAATGTATGCTTAAAGAGTTAATCGCAAATGCACGGGATAAACTTTATTAAGTTTCTTGATGTACTGTTTTGTTTGAATTAAAAGGAAACCACTCTCAGGTAGAAAAATGTATGATGACTCTTAGTGTTCTGTCTTAAGTAGGTGTCACTGTGTTGTATTAACTGTTTTATTATTTTGTTTGTTCAGATATATGGTTTGGAGGGAGACAATTTCATCCACAGCAACACTTGGCTTCCGTATTGAAGGAATCAAGAAGAGTGATGGAAAATCCAGCAAGGACTTTAAGACTACCAAGACAAGGGAACAGATCATGCAGGCATTCCAAGATTTTACTAATGGTTTCCCACATGCATTGGTAAGTACTACTATAGAATTTGTACAGTTCATGCAAGCATTTCAAGACTTTCCATTCCAAGATTTCAAGTTGTAATATAACTCCATGTCGAAACCTGCCCTGATTCCTGCCCCCCCCCCNACACACACACACACACACACACTGCAAGAGTACACACAACAAAATCCACTGTCAAAATTTTAGCTGCTAATATGCATGGCAAGTATTTTTTAAAAGTTGCCGAAGTTACTCATATTTTTCTGTATGAGGAACCGCTTGTAGCAGAGGTTTGTACAATAACAGCCTAGGCTGTGAGTCAGCCATGTTACATACTGCTCTGCTAGGGGTGGACATTTCTCCAAGGGT